TGATGATGATGATGATGATGATGATGATGATGAAGGTGACGATGATGATGATGATGATGATGATGATGATGGTTTTGTGTGACCTGTTTAAATGTTGAGTTTTATGGATGGATGGATAGATGGATGATATATAGATGGATAGATAGATGGATGGATGATAGATGGATGGATGATGGATAGATGGATGGATGGATGATAGATGGATGGATAGATAGATGGATAGATGGATGGGTGGATTATAGATGGATGGATAGATATTTCTTTTGAAAGTATGATATCATCCTTTAGTTCCTTTGTGCACTGCATTGTGGGAAAATAGGCAAATCAAGTGTTTTGCTTTATGTGGTATTAAGTTTGAACACTTTTTTTTTTTATCTGCTCCAAGCATGACTCATTATGTTTTGACTTCATATCTTTCACGTTCCCTCCCTCTCCTGGTTTTGAATGTTTCCCTTCATCCCTTGAAATATTATTTTTATGTTGCACCACTCGACTCTCGCAGCAGCCAAAGTACACATAACATCAGTGTGTTTCATGAGGCGTGGCAGAGAGTTGGCTTCGACATGAACAGAAACTCCGACACTAAATGTCGTTATCATGAATGTTATCATCTACGTCTCTGCTTTAGCTGTAAAAATGTTTGTGGTAAAAAAATATATGGGTGCACTCAGCTCGAAATATGGATAAATACAAAGGACAGCAATGTTTTAGAATTCATTGTGTTGTCATTGTGTTAAGTATGGAATCAGGCCACAGTGTTCAGTTCTCCACTGGGTTCCTTCCCACTCAAAGTCAACCAATTAAATATATTTACCCTCTGGATCCCCGGTCAACATTTGTTCAGCTCAACCTTCTGTCCGTGAAAATAACCAGACTAAACATCAGACGATATTGGCCGGTCGGATCCCTCGCTGACAAAATGTTTGAGTAAAACGAAGCCACCTGAACTTCAGATCCTCCAGGCCTCTGCTAGGGAAATCACGTCGTACAGTCTTTTCTCTTTGCTGCACCATCTAAACACTGAGGTGAATATTTTGTGTTGCCGCGTGTTCACGTGTGTGTTTCTGTGTCAGACCCCCCAAATGCCACCATCACCACGGCCTCAGGAGACTGGTTCGTGGGTGCGGAGAACGCTGAGCTGGTGTGTGACAGCGGAGGACACCCCAAACCTCAGAACATCACCTGGATACGGTACCGTCATCCGCCGTGTGCATAACAACATCTCTGGGTTAACTCTCAGTCTGGCTGCCAGCAAGACTGTGACAATTACATGCTAATTCAGCCCAGTGTAATTCTATCTGTGCCGCTAAATTGCTCTTTACATGGCACTGGAATGAGACTGAAAACATGCATAAGCCACTTATGCCAACACGCATACACGTAGAGGAGACACCGGAGAACAGCCGAGACGTGTGCATGAGTCTGAAGGAGGGCGCCCCTCTCTCCTCTCGCTCAATTCAGTGCACAATAAAAAGCTGGTGTCGCGTTGCGCAATTCAAAGTTGTAAAAAGAGGGAAAGAGACAATTTTCACACGAGGGAGGGAGCGAAGCTGCGTTAGGAAGAGCAGGAGACGCACGCTAAGCTCTTAATCATAGTGCCATGCTTTAAATATCACTGTAATGCCTGGTAAAACACCGGGTCTGCGCTTTAATTAGAGACACTGCACCAGCCATTACAGACACCACTGTGCACACAACGATCGAATGTTGTGTGCTGAGTGAGGGATATTTCAGCCCCGAGACGATGCTGAAATATTACGATTATTCAGGATTAAACGTTGCAGCGGCACAGACCCTCAGTGATAGAAACCCTCACTACTGTTGCTCAAACTCAGAGAGGCTTGTTTTTGAGTTGAAGAGGTGGTTCAGCATTTGGAATGAGCAATTAATTGATTTGATGAAAGGCAAACAAGTTTTCGGAGATTTTGTAAAAGCTGGACGCTGCCTCTCCAGGTTTAGTTTTGTCTCTGGGGCCAGAAAGACAGAGAGAGACTCGTCCCATACGATGGTTCATAACGTATAGAGTAGATCTAATATATAAATCCTTCAGTGCCTCATAAACCAACAGCAGTATTTTGAAGTCAAAGAATATTCATCAATTAAAGCAAAAACAAAAGAGTTTGACATTTAGAGAAATGCATTTTTTTGCTTTCTTGCCAAGAGTAAGAAGAGATCGATACTACTCATCGTACCTGTCCGTCAGAAACGAAGCTATAGGCGACTGAAGGTTAACGTAGCGTTAAGACTGAAAACTGACAGCTACACGTCCCTCCAGCTCCTCTAAAGCTCAGTCATTATCTCCATTATAAGCTTTTTCTCTTCTCGTCTTTTCGTTGCAGCTGAATTTACACTTTCAGTTCAGAGAGCGGACAGATTGAAATCTTTCTTGGCTGCTAAACTCGTACTACTTACTTCCAATCTGTATCATTTTCAAAGATCTACTCGGTGTCAGATGCAATCTCCACCTGTGACTCTGGTATAAAAGGCTGGCTGGAGAAGCTAGGTGGGGTTTTTTTTTTAAAAAAAAGAAAAGAAATGTGAGCTGGCTCCCGTTCAGGGGCTAAAGCAGCAGTTAAATAGCTGCTGCAGCACAGTGAAACCAGAGGCAACATGAGCCCTCTCAGTGGACCTGATCAGAAACTGCCTCTCCATTATGTGGCCTGCGACGTCTCCGGCTGCACAGTGTGGCACTCTGGACTTGCTTAAATCCCCCAAACCTGGTATTAACCCCGTCTATTCACATCAATGGGCTTGTAAGCCCAGCAGGTTTTGGTTCAGGTGCATGTAAATTGGTGGTTACACAGCGCGGTGACCCTGATCCCCTGCAGCTCTTATTCTTCGGTCGTGCAAACCACTTGTTGCGTTAGGCTCTGTTGCTTCAGAGCAGATCCCATCAGATATTCGTGTGTTTCCTTTAATTGAAAAGCAGGTTTCACTTCATTCGTCTAAATTTCTCAATAACTAAAATGAGTCACAGCTATTGTTTTTCTTGTCACCGGTGAGTCACAGGTTTCTGTTTCTGTGAATTGATGATGACCTTCTTCTGATTTCTGCGATGATCCTCAGGAGGGGAGGAGCTCTTCCAGATGGGGTGTCTGTGGTCGGAGGAAAGCTTGTATTCGGGCGGACCCTCCGCTCGAATGACACCGGGGTCTACGAGTGTGCGGCCGTGAACATTGTAGGAGTAGGAAAAGCAGAGTATTCACTGAAAGTAGCAGGTAAAGCCCTCAGCCTGGTTTTATTGATATTTGAGAAGGAGAGAATGAGGTGATTTAAACTACAAATTGAGATTTAAACTAAAACTAAATCCTGAGCATATTCTCATTTTTAATCGTGCAGATTTGCTGCCCCCTTGTGATGGATTGAAGGCGTGAACGTTAACTCAATAAGGACTAGAATTGCTGCATGAAAGATGTAACCACAGTTTTATTTGTGTGCCTGTGTGAAATGCATCATTATTTAGTTTTTGTCATTTTTCTTTCAGACAAATCTCAACGTAAGGTCGTCCCCTCTGACGATAACCTGCTGCTGATCATCCTCGGATCCTCGGCCGCAGCTCTGGTCCTGGTCCTGATCGTTGTCGTCCTGCTCGTCAACCGCTACCATCGCCACAGAAACAAAAATCTTGAGAGGCAGCTCACTGAAAAAACGTGAGCGGAAACACAAGGAACTAGTGTCACTGTAATAAGAACCTTTAAATCAAACCCTCTAAACGTGTTCTCTCTTTTTCCCCAGGGACGAAATTAACAGCCTCTCCAGACAAGCCTCTTTCAGGAGACTGAACTCCGTTAGCACAGACCCCAGAGTGCAGGTAAGAAACACTTAGAGACAACAATAACCTGCAGGATGTCGACAAACCAGGTCAACACACCCGCCAATGGCCAGGCGTGGCCAGGGTGGAGCTGCTGGCAAGTCAGCAGCTACATCTGCCGTGGTGGCCGATGATTACAGGCTGCAGCTGCTTCTAACAAATAGCGAGCAGAGTTCATAAACTCACACTGATCATCTTCATGTGTGATAACCTTTTGTGTTCTCTCTTTCTTTAAATATTCCAGCCTGAAGATTACGCTCTGCTCAGAGTCGACAGCAGGATGAAGAACAGCCAAATGTCCCTGGTGAGTTTCTCAATGGGAATAATAATAATAATAATAATACATGAGAAGAGTCCTTGGAGACAACTGACCGCTGTTGTCAGTGTTGTGACTGTCTTCTCGCCGCCTGCAGGAGCGGCCCAACTACAAAGGCAGCCAGTCCACGCTGGGCGGGAAGTGGGGTCCCCCGGGGGGAGTGGAGGTGGACGAGCTGGGACGTCCGGTCGTCTGGCACGACGGCAGGGAGAGCCTGAGACAAAAGGAGATGGACGGAGAGAAGGAGGAGCGCAGGAGGAGGGTGGAGTCGTATTTGAAGAGCAGCAACATGTCGCTGGTATGTTTGGGAGATTGTGTGTTGAGTTTCGTTTGTAATGTGTCACACGGTGTCGTGTTTAATTTGAGTTGTCACAGTCGGACGGAGTCATGGAGACGAAAGGATGACAAACAAAAACTGACTCACACACGTGACGCTGTAGCTACAGACGTCCTCATCCGCTGTTTTATGTTTATGTAGTGGGACTGAAAAGTAACTCCAGTAAACAACATCACAACCCGATGTGCTCCTGATTGAGCACATTTTTATTTTTAGATGATTTTACAGGTCTGTATTTGGCAAAATGTCTTGCTTTACCTACAGGACTCAGGTCTCCCTTCATCCCTGGTTCCCCTGAAGGTCCAGCAGGAGGAAGGGCCCAGAGAGCCGGACCTCGGCCACCTCAGGGAAGGCGACTCTCCACGTGTGGAGGACTGGGCTCCCACGCAGTCGGTAGAGGAGGAACAGGAGGAGGATGAGGGTGACGACGGCAGCAGCTCCTACCAGATCTCAGAGGCGCTCACCAATCACTTCTACTTCAGCAAAGGAGTCCTCAGACCCAGGCCACACTCCAACGCCATTCTGCTGCATCCCAGAGGACAGATGATCTAGACCGCAGACTCTGCTCATGTGGCGAGACAGCGTCTGTCTGCATTCCTGCATGGACGACAATCTTACGTCTTTGTGTGAACAAAACAAACGTGATTACAGACAGCAGCTGGTTAATTTCCCTCAGGCACTACTCAAATACTGAAAATACTTTTCCTCTGGGCTGTCAGATTTTGTTCATTTATTCTAATGCTATAATAATTGGGAATATAATTACTTTTAATTAATTACTTTTTGGCCGTTGTTAAGATACAGAATAGTGGAGAAATAGCCGACAATGAGGGGATAGTGATGATGAACGACACTCTGTTGAACAGCCATCGGGAACTAATTTGGAAGTTTGTGAGAATTATAATCATTTTAAAGAAATAGAGGAAAAGGTGGAGATTTTTAGTTTTCACTCACCACGACAAACAAAAACTAATTTAAAATACAAGGAATCATGGGTCCTGTTACACAGTGTTTACTATGAGTCCTGTCAGTTTACATCAAAAACATTCAGGCAGGACAATGTGGACAAAGACGGTTTCTAGGCTTTAGTCAAGAGGGAATTCTTCTCAGAACCATGAATTTTTCAGCGTGGATTCACCTGTGGAGGACAACGTAGTGTGTGTATTTGTATATGTGTGTATTATAAATATGAGGGAGAGATAAAGAGCTATTGTATACTTACAATATTGTTACCTGCAACAAGAGAAAGGCCAAAGAAAAAAAAAGGCCTTTTACCCCGAGGACCAGAACATGGACATGAAAAAGAAACTGGCAAATGAGGAAACGGGGACAAAACCTGCAGGAGATGAACATGTTTTATATCCATCCAGTGTTTTCTATGAAAGTAAAAAAAAAAAATTAAAAAAACCTGATATGTAAATGTTGAAATGTTTATTCATAAAAGTACAGCATATGCAGTTTTAAAAAGAAAGTCATGGTTATTTATTAAAACCTGGGACACTTAAGCTTATTTCACCTTGTGTTGGAGGATAAAGGGCAACGCAGACGCATCACAGCGGCTGTTTTAGATTGTAGTGTTTCTCCTCGTTCTCACCTCGAACCTCATCGACTCGGCGCTAACTGAAATAACTGGATACAAGTAGAAAACAGTGGATTCTCGCAGAGTGGCGTGATGACTTCAGTAATGTTACTGAACGTCCGTAGCAGAGGAATAGTTGGTATATAAGTTGATTTGCTTTCTTGCCAAGGGTTAAGATCTCGTGTATGTACGGTAAATAAAAAGAGTAGTGGGCTTCAGAGATGTTGGTAGGAGATGAGTTCGAGACAAGCTTATTCCTCTTTGTTTTAGTCTTGACGCTAAACTAAGACAAACAGCTGCCGACTGAAGATTCACGTTTACCGTCCAGACGTTAAAGTAGAATGAAGTGGTGTAAAAGAAACAAACACACGTGTTTCCCAAGTGAACCAGGCGTGGACGACTGGAGAATGGAAAGTGAATGAGAAAACTATAATGAGATCAGAGTACGTGATCAAACACAACACCAGTCCAACGCCTTCTGATCCATGGATGAGCAAGATCAGTCGACAAGTGATTAAACCACGCTACCTCTGCTCGTCAGCACCAGAAATAATAGAAGGTTGAACTTATCAATAGTGTACAACTCAGTGAAGGCTGCCGGCGCCGGCCCTGCTAACATTAGCCACTCTTGACAATCCAGCATGACATCGTTTTTCCCCACAGAAGCTGTGATCTCACGACATGTTGCTCAATTTTGAATGTTTTCTGGTTGTTTTCTTGCTCCTAAGCAAGTTGGAATTTAAATTTACATTCAATCAAAGGGAAATTAGCTGTTTCTGAGCCACAATGACTCATTTCAATCAGCCAGATATTTAATAACAAATTGTCATTTTTCTGTAACCTTAAAGGAGAGCCTGTGTGTAGGATTCAAAGGATGCAGTGGCCTTCAAGTAAAGTAAAAAAAAAAAATGCCAAAGGTCCTCTCAACAACCAGCGATGTACGAAAGATGGCAGTGCAACACAGCAGGCCCACTCCCTGTGTATGTATATCTAATTCAAATACCCATAACACAACAATAGTTTCAGATGCTTATATACTAAGGCAAACCTCATATATATATATATATATTTCTGCAGATAGAGCCCCTGAAATCCTACACACTGGACCTTCTAGAAGTCAAACTTCTAAGCTGGAGACCCCTGCCTGTTTTTTAAAATCTGCCTGCCCACTGGATTTAAAAAAGAGTTTAAAAATAACGAAGCTATGTGAGTGCACAGTAATATCAGTCAGCTACATTACCTCTCAGTAATATCAAAATATAAAGATAATTTGTTAATTCATCTAGACGTAAATGCCACAGAAATCATTCTTGCTTTTCTCTCATTTTTCAAAATACATCAAATCAAATTGCATTTTGGGATAGAGTCTCTTTGTGAGTCCGCTGATGAGTGCGAAGGTTGCTCCTCTGAGAAAAACACTTGCCACATATATCGCACGTGTATGGTTTCTCTCCTGTGTGAATCCGCTGGTGAATCTCCAGGTGGCTGATACGATCAAAGCTTTTGCCACAGAACGGGCAGATGAACCATTTCTCCTTAATGCGGCGACTCGCCATAGTTTTATGAAACTCCGGGTCGTTTAAGAGGAATAACCTGCTGTCAGAGTTAAAAGTCGACATGTGTTTAGTTTGTTGTTGTTGTTTCTCTGAGAGGAATCTGATGGACACTCCCCTTTCTGGGAGATTTATTGCTTCTCGAGGTTGACTTAGCTGAGGTTGGCTAAAAGTCAAAGGAGCCCTTGATTTGCTCGACGCACCTTGTCCATTATCCATCGCGAACCTGTCAGAATACGCCGTCTCTGCTGAATTATCAAAAATGTCCAAGGCATTTTGAATGAGTAGGATTTCCGAGTCCAGATTTTGCGAGAGCTGCTTTGGTTCAAAAAGGCAGTCCGAGTCCTCGGCAGAGTCGCTGTCTGCCACTGTCACAGACGTCCACTGCTGGCTCTCTTGTTCTTCCAGGACCTCGGCAGGCTGGTGGTTAGGATCCCGCTCGTGGTGACCCGCTCCGTCGTTAACGCTGTGATCAGAGTCCACTAGCCGATCCACAATCTGGACATCGTCCTCATCCTCCAGCTTGACGATTAAGTCTTCGTCATCCATGTCGTCCCTTTGACAGAGGTAAGGCTTGTGCTGCTCACACTGCATCTCTTCTGTCTGAGCGGGTGGTGGTGGTGGTGTGTGATTAGCAGAGGTGTCGGCCTTCTCTCTGACAACCGGATCAGAACACAAGGCCTGGACCGAATCTGCAACAGGCCCCGAAACAACAAAAGCATTTTAATTAAGGTTTATTCATCTTGACACAAAAAAATATTGCAATAATAGACTATTTTGATCTGTCACTTAACATGTTAAAGACACAAAAGTATTTTTCATCTACATGTTTTGTTTTGAACACAAAGAATATCTGATTTCAAAGTTGTTGTAACTCAAAATAAGTTTACACAGAGCAATTTAAAAAAAAACTACATCTAGAAGTTGCAGTGAAGTTTTCAAACATTTACATTTTCTATTTCACGGTCGTCCTTACCGTCACCTGTTGGCAGCAGCAGCGTGTTTGGCTGCTCCCTCTTGGAAGAAGAAGATGCTGAAGATGATGAGGAGGAGGAGGAGGAGGAGAAGGAGGAGGAGGAGGAAGACATATTTGTGGTCTGAGTCAACACTGTCAGTCGCTCGTTTTCCATCAGCATCAACTTTTTGTTCAGGGCTTCGATTTCGCTCTGTCTCCGGCGCAGCTCGACCTGCACGAGGGCGAACCCGTCCTCCCACAGTCTGCTGATCTCCAGCACGGCCGCCTTGGCGAGCGTCTCCATGACCGAGGTTAACTTGCTCTGGAAAGCCGCGCAGTGGGCCATGGTTCCCCCGCAGCGCTGAGACGCCTCTGCCGGCTGTGGCGACGAGGACCCCGGTTGGGGGGGGGGGCAGGGAGAAGGTGTCGAACTAACTTTGCGAGTCGGTGGGGCAGCGACGCGACTGTCACACTTTGACGAGTCAACGCTGGAGGAGAAAAACATGGAAGTGAAATACAATAGCAACAGGAAATGGGGCGGGGTCACGTGACAGGGAATGTACGGTGTCCGCGAAAGGACAAAATGTGGGAGAATGACAACTTCCGCCAAACTGTCACTGTAAGTTTAAACCTTTTATATACAGTCTATGGTTTAAACACTAATGCAAATAACAACACGTGAGAGGGATTTTACTATATTCTACTGTTTGATTAAACAATTGTTTTCATTTTTAACCCACTGTCAATTACCTCTTGAGTGTGGTTTCAGGTTTTCATTCATTATATATCATTTACCCATTGATGTTAAAACATATAACTAAAAATAAACGTTCAGACAATGTTAAGTGAAGAACGATAGGTGACAGTATCTCGCTTTAGTGTGTGTGCAGCAGTGCTTTTTAATTTTGTCCACTAGGTGATGCTGTATTTCCACGTGATCGTATAAAAGCTGGGGTCCACTGGGAGGAAAAATCCTGATGAAATAAATCTGTCGTTAAGTGTCTTTGCTAATGTATATTTGTATCTGACTTTAAATATGAACTATATGCAATTTATTTAATTTAGCTCACTTTAGTGACTGGAATGAAAACAGGACACAATAAAAAATAGGATTGCCTTGACAGCAACCAACAGAAACACACTAGTGTCAGTGCATGATTGTTTTTGAATTGATTTAAGCTTTGTCCATATGTCACCAATCAAAATATTAGCCACTCAACAGTGTATTAAGGAGCCCATTTGAAAACAGTTGTAATAGTTTTGTGTCCACATAATGCAATTTATTAGCATCTTATTATTGTTGTTGTATTTATTTCGTCTGTTTGCATTGTTTCTGGTACTTGTCTCTATTCTCCTTTACTTATGTGACTCTCTTTTTACTGAAAATTCGCTTCGATCTGCTTCTGTAGTAGTTGTAAACAAACTTGAATGAGATAATTAGAACAAACTTAAAATCAGTGTCGATGATTTGTTGAAATCTGGTACAAATATTCATTTCGACTGAAGGATGAACTGATCACCTGATCATGGTGGCCTCACGAAGTATGTTTATGTTTTTCTTGAACGTTATATCTTCAGATCAGCTCGAGGGAATGTCTTCAAACATTCACTTGGATTCAAAGATTAACTCGTTTGATTTTCGTAGCTAAGGGTCAAAGGTCAAGGTCAGGGTGGTTTTACAAACTATGTATATGTTTTTCTTGAAGTTATATCTTCAGATCAGCTCGAGGGAATGTCTTCAGATGTTGTGCAAAGATTCACTTGGACTCAAAGATGAACCGATTCCATTTACAATATGCAAGGAGGTCAAAGGTCACAGTGTTCCAGTGGTCACAGTGACCTTTACACGAGAGAAGCACGTAGAGACACGTGCACACAAACTGCGCTGGTTAAGTTTTGAATGTGTTTCGCACGTGCGCTTTATTTTTGTTAAAAACTTTTTTTCTCAAAAGCAGCGCGAGGGGGAAGTCGCACGCTCATTGGTCGGGGCGACGCGTCGCTCAAACGTGGGCGGGGTCAGTGGGAGTAGCAGGGGGAGACGACGGAGCTGTCAAACGGCAACTAGCGTCAGAGACACGGACCCCGGGCAGCGCGAGGGGGACACACCGGACCGTACTGCTCCGGAGGACACGACGAGGACACCGACACACCCGGGGGTCCACCCGGAGGAGCCGGGCTCTTCTCACCAATGCGGACTTTTCAACAAAACTTCGTCGGTTAACGTTAGCCCCGAGTTCTGTTGACAAACTAGCCAGGCAGCTTTAGCCACCGAGCTAACTGCGTGACTAAACTTTGTTGTTGTTGTTGTTGTTGTTGTTGTTGTTGTTGTCGTCGTCTCTGGTTTTCGGGATATTTATCTTCTGAGGAGGGGAAGTCATGGAGCTCCACTGCTCTTACAAACTTCTCCCGGGGACCACACCAGGTGAGTCAGCCAGACTTTAACCCGAAAGCTAACTTCATGTGACTTGTTGTAAAGCTCCCCGGACTCATTAGTGGTTCATGGTTTTCCAGTTTCTTTCCACGGTGTCTGCCCCGTGGACTCGTTCATTACTTTAAACCCTTGAAGAATGACAGGTATGCAGCGGCTCACATATCACGGCCAGGTCACCAGGTTTAGATGCTGGTCAGATAAGATGCTGCTTATTCCTTTTTTTATTGAATGTGACCTTGCAGGATAAAGTCTTGACAGATAACTAAAATGCAAATGTAATTGTACTTTTAAACACACACTGTCTATTTAGAAATACTAAGAATAGATCTGTGTTGTTCCTTCATTGTGTTCACCCTCACATCTCCACTGTCATTCAATACCTCTTGCACTTCAGAGACCCACGCTCAACTCGTCATTATAACATCACTTTGAGTTTTGATTTATTGTGGACGTTCTCTATTAGCCTGTAATCCACTGAGACACAGCTGGATAGTGTTCAGGACCCCAAACTACTGTTAAAACATTTGGCCTGAAGCTGCTGCAGAGATGTCCCATCTGTTTCGGAGTAGCAACAAGCCACATTTTACAGAACCCAAAAAAAGGGCCGCCTTTTAAAATTCCACCCCTTTCCAAGCATAGCCTCTTTAGTGTGGTGTTTTAAATGCAGGCCCTCTGGATATGTAGGCAACACGGTATGGTTTGGAAACAAATATAGCAATGAACTTTTGTAGCTTGTCTGTATTTTTCTTTCTTATCTAAATCCACATTTCCAGGAATATAGTTAAACGAGGACGAGCACAATATTACAGGACTTTGAATTTATTTTTAATAGTACAAAGTTATTTTATACAGTGTGTGGCCAAAGTTCCTTGTGATTGATGTGTGTTTTTCGTGTTTATTGCAGAAGTGGGTGTAAAAAAAATGTTGGGGTGGTCAGCGTACCGCTTTAGACTGGGAGGATCTTTCCGAATGAAGCCACCCACAGTTGGTAGAATAATGCAGCATCTCAGTGTTTGCATGACTGATATTCAAGTGTAGGATGTTTATGTTTAGTCAGCATCAGCTGCTTTGACCACTGATGTGGGTGTGTGGGAACTGAAGCTCGTAGTGTTGAATCAAGGGTGAATTTTACATGCTGACCTCTTCTTGTCAACTCTGATACAAATACGAGGATGAAAAGCGTGCCTCTGTTCCTGCTCTTAGATCGGAAAAGCTACTTAAATTAGATAGGAAAGCTTTGGCCTGGTACTTGTGGCTTGTATTTTTCTTGGCACGGGCACTTTCAGCTTTGCCGTACCATTTCAGCAAGGCAGAAAAATGAAGTGTCATTGCAGAGAAAAAAGAAAGAGGAGGATGAAAAGCCTTTTAAGGATGTTGCTGGGACAGAGAATGATCTCAGAAGTCGTCCAGGAGATCGACAGTAACTTGCAAGCGTCTGTCATGTAATGTCAACGGACCAAAGCAGAATCTGGCTCTGTCGTATATTGTCTTTAGGATCTGATCTTATCAGACCTCATCTGGGCCAGACTTGGACATTTGTTAGTCTCTGTTGATTTATTCATCTTAAATCAGCACCTTTCTTACATTTAACTTAATTATTGGAGTTTTATTCTGATAGATATGGGTGAAATAGATTGATGCCGTGTGTGGACAGAAATCAACACAAGTACACGATGAAAGGTTTTGTAGTTTTAAAAGCAGCAGTGTGAACTCTGCTTTATAGATATATATTATTCATGCAGTTGTCTTTACTACCTGCTGGTCATCTGGGTTTTACTTTGTGAAAGGTCACCTCGCTTCACTCAGTCTGCATCATCTATTATTCTATTCAACTGTTGTGTAGGTGCTTAGTCTTAGGGGGTAATTAGTTGATGAATTAATTACATACACTGTTCTTCATAGGTCGTTGATGTTGTTGGGAGATTTTCTGTTCATATCACAGGCAGAATAAATGTTTTTTTCCAGTTTCCAATCTACTTTTCTGTCCCTCTCTCTAGAGTATTTGAAAAGAAATATTTATAACCAGACTCGACATGTTACATCAGTCAAAAAAATTCCCCTCTGGCCTCAAATATTCTTAAACGTTGGCTATGAAAGCCACATTGTTTACAAGACCTTTAGCCACAGACTTCCTTTCCTGTTCGCCTTTGTACCCTGCTGAATTTGTTTTGGATGGCAGAAAGGTCCGGGACCTGAGCTATTTCTTGGCTAATCTCCCATAATTGGACAATCAGCCCTTATTACAGCCATTATATTTGGCCCTGTTGAGCAATAGTGGCTTGTCTCATCCATCCTAATGCAAGACCCAGTCTACAAAAACAGTTCTACATATCTTAACCTTTCATGAAAGACCAGCTTGGCAGCTCTTGTTTCTTTTATTCCGGGTGTGCAGCATAACAACATCCTGCACTGCTACTTTACATGTCTTAATCTCAAATCAATATAAACCCCTTTTTCATTTTCTCCAGGTCTCCAAGGACTTTCTATACATCTCAAATAAGTGAAGTCCCTCCCGTCCCAGTGGACTCTTCAGTTACAAGCAGAGAGGAACTGGACCCGTAGGAATCATCTTGGACCTGGCCGGAGTTTGTCACCGGGGGTGCCCTGAACAAAGGCTGAAGTCTATGTGTGTGACATATTTCCTCCCAGGACACAAACTGAGTAGATTCTGTGCTGCCGTGGAATCCTCGGCACCATTAAAGCAATCCAGTCCTCTTGTCATGTGGGTACATCACAGAGGAAGGCTCATATTACCCTCACTGGTATCACCATCAGTCACATCACCATGGACCGGAATAAGCGCAATTCCATTGCTGGGTTCCCAACTCGACCTGAACGTCTCACCGAGGACAGGGACACTGTCGGAGGGGCAGGGGTCTGTGAGATGGGCATGGGACCGCCTCCACAGGTCAGTCCTCGTTTTTTTTAATTCAGGGAACATTTCACTGGTGCAGGGCGTGCATTACATTGTACAGGGTCCAAAAACAAACAGACTAAATTCAGCTGGGCGCAGTGTGTCATTCTGGTGAAATTGTGGATCTCATTATTGTACAGCACTATGATCACCAGAACCAGAAAGCTCCGTTTGGGTGTGTTTTGATGTTAAATTGAAATCCTTGTTATTCATGTTGTTCCCATCGACCATTTTACACATTTGTTTTGCATGAGTTGCTCTTCTGTGCCAATAATAGCATAAATGTACGAGTGAACAGGGCTGGTGCAACAAGGGATTTGTCTGTTTGTGTATTGACACATACTGGAATTTGTGTTCCCGCAGGATTTGGAAGTGGTTTGCTGAGTTGCCTAACGACACAAAAATGAATATAGCTAGCTATTAGCTCAAAGTGTGTTTGGGTCTCGAGTATGTACTTGTTTCACTCTCTGCTCCTTTCTGTCTGTGAGGAGTAGAGACTGAGAACATCTTATGTTTGCTGGTTTAAATCACTCTTGGTATCTAGTTCTTGTCCTACGTACAGTCAGACAGATAATGTGACCTTTATCTCATTTTCCTCAGAAACAAGTAAATTATAGCAGTGGACTTAGTTATACTGCCCTGTCAGATAAATCACCCATTTGGCCTGTTCTCACCGGTCTGTTCATATCTTCTGCAGGTGGGCAGGGTGTGGCCATCGTCCTACAGAGCCCTGATCAGTGCCTTCTCCTGTCTCACACGCCTTGATGACTTCACCTGTGAGTGGATTGGCTCTGGATTCTTCTCCGATGTCTTCAAGGTGGGGTTGAGATCCGTTATTACTTGTTCTCTTATTTCTGCGTATCCTTTTTTCTCCTTTCATTTACTCAGTCGGTCTTTGGCTTTCCCCTGCTCTGCTTGACTTCATCTTCTGTCTGTTTCAATGTGTAAAGATCATACGTACTCATAACCACAGGACTGATTTCTTTTTCCCTTGTTGGTGTAAAAAATGATGCTTGTGTGCTTTGCATTTTGTGCATTAGTCATGTCACAACCCGGCTTAATAGAGTGTCAGACAAGGAGGGAGATGACTGTTGACGGTTATGTTTAAAGACATATATTTAAACAAAACAAGATAGGAAGGGCCGTCAGGGAAAGACAACCTCATCCCTCAGAGAGTGCAAGACAGAGACATGAATGATGCAAGGCCTTTTAAAGGGCAGGGCACACCAGACCCAGGTGTGTACTGATCGTAGCTGACGTCACCTCCATATACGACTGAGGGAAAAGAAGAACAGGGACCCCCCCAATACAAAAAAAGATAAGGGGAACTTGCTGAGTGTGGCTCTTACAGATAAATGGCATTTGTGAGTGAAGAAACTGACGCCCAGATTCATTTTCTGTTTGATTTGACTTGTCAAGTTGATGTGCTCGGTGGGTCGAAGACTGATTGTTTCCGAGTGAGCTTGGTCTTCACTCATGACTGTGTCGCAGACATTTTTAGGTCAAGTTAGACTCCGTTCAAAGACATCAATTAAATACGGGGTTGTTAACCCTGTTACTTCCCCTCCCCCTTGCAGACATGTGAATGGGAGTCACACAAGCACATTTAGTGCTATTAGTTTGGCTTTGCTAAATTAATCCCTCATCATCAGCATCCATCAGCAGAGGAATTACATTTTCTTCATCGAGTTGTGTCATCAAAGCCACAGTGACGGTGCAATTATAGGACGGCTCAGTTTAATTTGTAATTAGAGCCCGACTGAAGTATCAGCTGGCCGATAAGAACCTTCACAGACATATTTGTATTGTTTATGTTTGGGCTGATATGAAGTTCTGTATTTGACAGAATAGACATATTTACATTTATGTTTAGTAAAGTGATTATTTATTTACGTTGGATGGTTGTAACTTGTGATTATATAATACCTGTTTTGTTGTGGATTTCTTCAGAGTTTTTCTCTATAAATGTATGTGTGTGAACACGACTGACTTCTGGTTTTCATGTAGTTGAATGGAAACTCAGTACTTAAATTAGACTGACATTAAGCCAGGTTCCTTTTAATGTCACATTATTTGTTGTATCAGATTATATTTTGAGATTCCAGTATTTTAGACTGTCTGTCTTTTTGAATTTGAATTTCAGTATGACCTTAGCTAACAGTGTATTTGACTGGTGAACTGGTGCGACATTCAGTTTCCACTGTGTCTCTTATTGATGTTACTGTTGATCGTGTCTGGCAGCTATTGAGTGTGGTGCATCTGGTTAAAGGGCGGCAGACATTAAAGGTCCACGTGTTGCAAATGGAGTTTTATATTAATTGACTTTTATTAGCTGTATGAAGAACCATACTACATTATAGTGTCACCCATTGTTCTCTGGGTATGCCAGCTGTCGAAAACACCCCCCATTGTGGGCTGTGGAAACACAGCAGCTTATTCATATGAGTGATGAAAGAACCGAACAGCACAAATAAACAACAGCAAGCAGTTTCAATCATTGATATACACGTTTACAGCTTGGTTCAATTAATAAAACTCAATTTCTGACGATGGAGTGAAAAAGTGTTTAAATAGAGGCTGTTGGAATTTAATAGCAGCAGCACTGAGAGTCTCCGTCCCTCTGCATGAATCCCGCCTCTTGTCGAGCAGAGGGAATGGCAGCGCACTGATGAAAAGCTGGGTCAGGTTGAATGAAATGAAAAGGCGCAACATAGATAGTGATAAAAGTGGAGGCCAAGAGGAGGAGGAGAAAAAGCTTCTGATGGTGGAGAGCTGTTGAAAGGGTTGGAAGTGTGGGGGGGTTGAGTGGAGCCTTCAGGAGTTCACTGTGAATGTAAGGGATGGGGCAGACAGGGGCTGTGGAGGAGTTCTGGGCAAGGGAGAGATGAAGGGGGTTTGTTGAAGGGTTTGAAGGACAAGAAGGACAAGGAAACTAGGGAAAGTGGAGGGGCGAAAAGACATATCCAAGAGCAGAGCATGCATGAGTGGAGAGGAGAAGGTTTGGACTGACAGCCAAGGAAGATGGGAGAGAAACACACTACTACTACTACTTCTACTACTACTGGAGGAGATGAGGATTGAGGATGGCAGGTTTGTTGGAGGCCACAGCGAGGAGGAGAAAGAGGGGGATCAGGAATAAATTCAGATGGGGGGATGTGAAGAGTGAGGAATGGGGGGGTTGGAGGAGGATAGACGGATGTGGGGGAGGAGGCCTTCAGAGGAGTGGCCATCTGTTGTTACTGCTGTCCTGTGGTGGAGACTGTCGGCTCTTACAGCCCGGCCCCTCGCTTTGAACTTGAACGGAACAGAGAGATTTCTGTGTCTGTATGTATGAGATGGAGAGAGAAGCAGACAGAGAGCTTCCCTAAACAGAAACAGACTACACCGGCCGTGTATATATATATATATTAGGGATAACTCCCCCACTATATCAAGAGCTTTTTTAATTTACCACTCCCATTTTGTCCAGCAGTATATTTCACTGACTCTCCCTCCTATGTAACCCATATTGATTTGGCCTCCGCTGTAAGTGACACCGTCTTACGTTGTGTCACCAGTGTTTGGTGGCTGTGATGATGGAAGATGGTCAAAGAGCCACTGTTAGAAGATGATTTAAATATAAATGTGATTGACATTGTGGTCGGAATTTCTCTTGAGTTTGTGACGTCAAACAATGGCAATGGGAGAGGAGTCAATCTCCTTTTTAAACAAGTTTACTTGAACTTAGAAAGAGGAAACATCAGTGTTTTATTCTTGCTGGTTGAGTCACTTAGAATCTAATTCTGAGCTAATGCTTATCTCATCCTGTCTTTAGATGTTGAGTGAGGCACTAACAGCGACTTGCAGAGACTTTGTGTGTGAAGTAAAATCACATTCATCACATTTTCTGCTCAGTCACAGCAATTCAGCAGTTAGTCAATCTAGGTCAGAGGGTTAATAGAAGAAAACGTAAGAAGAATATAATTTCCATTACTACTGCCTCTTTGGTATCAACATTTCCGTAGATTCAAGGTTACAGGATCATCCGAGTTGTAATTTTCACCTGCCATTATTTTTGTCAAACGATATATTATTATTTGAGTGCCATCATATGTCGTCATATTTGTTTTCGAAAAAACGAAGCATATTATTAGTGCATCTGTGCAGAATTGGAACCTCTCTGGCATAATGTCTGGTGTGGTTTAACATGTTGTTGTTGTGTAATTGGGGACAAGGCTCTCATACTGAAGTGAACATGTGATCTAATTCACTTTGGGGTGACATCATGCATTGCCAAACTTCATTGTGGTTCCGTTTTGTTTCCTATGTTGCGTATGATGGAGCAACTTTTCAAGCCGGCACATATATCACGTACATCACGTATACCCAACTGTGATTGTTGTTGTTGTGTAATTGTTTGGTAACACAACAACTATGCATTTTTGATTGATTCCCAGTACTCTATTCCTTGTCTGGAGCTCTTGATCATGTCTGGATTGTGTTGTCGCTGCTGAAGGCCGTCTACCTGCAGTTGGGCTCAAACCTCTGTGACCAGTTAAACTCACTCTATACACACAGGAGCATCAGTGAAGCGTTTAAACTACTGAAACCTACATTCGGATCTAAATGTGTGTCAGGAAATGAGTAAACAAGTGTGGGTAGCTCAGTCTGCAGCTGAGCAGCTCAGTCACTGTGGTTTGTAGGTTGATATTTCCTATTTGTATGATATACTTGAGCATATTCAGAAGAACCTACATACTCAGTAATTTATGTACTGTGGCATCGCTGACACCTGAAGTGTGAATGTCATCTTTCTATTTTCAAAGACTGAGCTGACAGAGAGAATAAAAATGCTTCCACGTGGGACTTTTAACAGAAAATGTTTAAAGCAGTTGCTTCAGTTCGGAGATTAAATTTGCTAATTGCTCTTTTAGAGGTTTTTCACTCAATGAAATGGACTGTAGTTATTTTTGGAAAGGTAATTCCACTGTGTTTTTTTACACAGCACCATTAAGACACACAAGTTTTCTAATCTCAGTGTTTGAACCTCTACTTTGCTATGACAGATTTCCAACATTTGAATTCCAGAGAGGCCCTGTATGAGATCTTTGGTGGGCCGGTAAAAAAAGTTTTTCAAACCCTAGTTGACTCCAGCCAGAGATGGATGCATGAATGGTGATGCCCCCATTATCTAACAAAGGTGGAAACCAAAATCCCAATGCGCAATAATAAAAAATTGATTGTGTAGCTCTGGACTGACATATTAACACTCATAGGGGGGGGTCAGTGACCTCATTTCACTTCTCTTTTATGTCCTGACTTCCTCTTTTGTGTCTCGCTGCATGCACCCATAGTGACCCAGGTCGAAAAGTCTAAAAAAAGAGTTTCATTTTTAGACAAATGTTCAATCCCTGTGTGTTTCTATGAGTATAGTTCAAACATTGTGATTGTGATTGTATTTCCAGCATGTTAAAGTGTGGCATCATTTGACTGTTTGACAGGTACGTCATCGAGCTTCAGACCAAGTCATGGCTCTGAAGATGAACAAGATCAGCAGCAACAGAGCCAACATGTTGAGAGAGGTCCAACTAATGAACCGGCTTTCACATCCAAATGTACTCAGGTCAGTAACTGAATAAAGTTTTGCTCACAACAATCAGACACCGGCCATATTACTCAAATAATAAATAACAAGTAAATAATTACATTATCACAGGATGAGCTCCTTTATAATACTTGATCAGTCCTGGTGTAATAAACTGATTATTGGCAATGATTTCCTGTCCGGCATGTTTAATGGTCAAATCCAAAAGGCCTATTGTGAAGATATTTATAAGATGTAACTTGAAATAAGCTCAGTCTCCTAAATTCACGTAGGATTATTGAGAGTTACAGTCACTCAGGAACAACTGACACAGTGTACACGTCTGCTTTTACCCAACTTCATCGTGTAACTTCATGAGTCTATGGTTGTGACCTGTTTCCTCTGGGGTTGGTTAGAAACTGTGTCAAACACAGAGCCTATTAACAATGGATTTTCTAGACTGCCAGCTCCTGTTAGGGCTGCACCAGATGCCTGGAGGCAAAAATAAAGCAAGGAGAGCCCCCTCTATCACCAAGGAAGGGGACAAGGCTCTGAACCCTCATGTTAAATTATTGATTGGACAAAAGGGACAAAGTATGACAGTGTGGGAGCAGCTTGGTCTGACTCTGTGGTCCTGAAGGTCTTCAAACCAGCTATTTAGAGGTGCTGCACGTTAGACCTGTTGACTGACATTTCACAATCAAGTGAGATGAGACTTCATGCAGCAGAGCTGATTGACTTTTCCACAACAACAGCACAGACAGTGTCAGAATTGGTGAACTTGTGTTTGTGTAATAGAGTGTGTAATTACAATTACACAATTGCTCTATTGTGTAATTACTTTATATTCCCCAACCATGACTTTCTCCAGAATACATAAGGGTATGAAAAAGCCTTTTGAGAGCAGTCACATGCACATGGAAGGGTTTGAAGAAATGTCTTGATGATTTGAAGGCCTGGAGCTCGTAGAATATATTTTTGATATGCTTGAAAAATACAAACTCAGTTAGTCTCCGTGATATTGAGGAAGCAGTCCGCTAGCAGCACCTTAGAGCAGCTTTCAAAAGCGATGCTGCACATGAATGCAGGCCTCCTCCTGATGATCTGTAAGACAACTTGTTACTTAAGATGGTTCATGCATTTTTATATTTCCTTTTGTCACTACACTTATTCTGTATTTTGTGGTTATTTTTGGACTATTATTGTTTTATTTTCCTTTTTTTTAATTGTGTTTTTACTTTGTATAAAGCAAATAGTGTTGTTTTGGCTTCACAGATTCACATTCTCTTCTGAGCTCCTCAGCGGGAGAGTGTGTCTTTACCAACATGCACATACATGCATAAATATCTGTGTGTGTGTGTGTGTGTGTGTGTATAATTTTTGCACAGGCTCACACATGTACGGTATTCTTTACAATGCCATCTTTGTTGAGCACGCCTGCTGGATTGTGTGTCTGTCTGTGTGTTAACAAGCAGGCACTGAGGGGGTCATTGTTAGCTCAAATCTAACAACGACCCATAAAGTTGACCTTTTCATTGCCTCCGGATTTATGAGGCCGTCAGTGCTGCTTGTGAGCAAAGTTGGTTTATACATTTCTCTGCACAAACACCTCCTTTTTTTACGTTGGTTGAAGCAGAGCATGTGTCCGTGGTTGTTGTACGGTTAATCGTGTGAAGACAGAGCAACCTTTAATTCAACAGTGGTCGAGAAACACGAACAAATAGCAGAGAGGTAAACGGTGTGTTTATTTGAATGTAGAGATTGATAGGTAAGGTGGAGGAAGAAATGGATGGAATGCAGATAAAGCAACTGAGCTGTTATTATCCTTCTCTCTACAGACTCTCAGCTATAACTTGCCTGGTCTTGCCCACTGGAATTTTACATTTTTCCTTAACTGTTCTTCCAGCTTTCTTTGTTCGCTACCAGTAAAGAAGGCCACACACGAGCCAGGATTTGATATATCTGCTTTATTTTAATTGAAATGACCCGATAGTTCAGTGGCCCTGAGGGGCAGATAAGAAAATATAATGACCAATCAAAAAAACACAACAGTGAACTAAGAGAAACTAAAAATGCTGGATGTGCAGGGTTTTCTATCCACCGTGGTTTATATCCTCAGATGTGTTTGTGTGTCAGTCTCCATCTTTTATTCATTCTTTTCAAATCAACAAATGTCCTGTACAGCACCTTCATTTTGAATGTCTTTCGTGTCTTTGTAGGTTCAAGGGAGTGTGTGTCCACGAAGGCCAGCTTCACGCTCTGACGGAGGTAGATACACACACACATACACACACACACAAACACATGCACACACATGCACACACACACCTCTGTGATGTGCAAGATCAAAGTGTCTGCCTCATGAAAAGTGATATACTGATATGATGCTGAAAATATGTTCCAGTACTTCCAGTATGTTCCAGTACTTGTGTTTACCTGCAAATTTGAGCCCCCTGCAAATTTAATGTCTGTGTTTGTACACATTCCTACTTTTTCCAACCATGAACACGACACGGCAACACGCCAGTCTGTAATAAAACTAAATGTTCATGTGTATACATATCACTTAGTATGTCTGCATGAGAGAGACAGAGGGAGTGCAGAATACAGGCTGCTAATAAAATTCTCCAGAAATGCTTAATGTGACAGCACACATCATTACAGTAAGAGTGAGCAATACTTTCAGGTTGCACATAGCCTATAATTATCCTTTGTACGTTTATAAGTGTTTCTTTGTGTGTCTGTGCGTGTGAAGGAGAGGAGTGTTACTGATAGTTATTAAAATGTCTGACCTAATTCTTTTGATGTGGAGGAGAACTGAGGGTGAAATAGAATTAATAGGTCAATTCCGTCGTAGTGAATAGCTTCTTCTATATACAAACACTCTTCTCTAAAACAACTTCTCTAAAATACTCCAATGTGAAGTTGATGCACTCTGACAAATCGAAAAATACTCTTGAATTTACAACCAGAAACATCGGCTAGGTAAACAAAGCTAGATATTTGAATTTCAGGACACGGGTAACATTGCTAAATCATGGATTCTTTGCATGGTGCAAAACAAACTTGGGCGCTTGAAGAATAGAGATGGGTATTTTTAATAATTTTCTTTATTTTCTAAATTATTAATAAAGCAAACAACTGTCCAATTATAGAAACTACACAGAAACATGCATTCATCATAGATGCAAACATTCAACCAGTGTGGCAATGCACATCTATAAACATGCTTGTATTTAAGAACACACGCAATCAAATACAAGTAAATGTGGACAAATGGCACAAAACACACAATTCATCCCACGGAGCAGAAAGACCACACTGTTGAACTCTGTTCTTCAAGGCAACACACATGTGTACATGGTTACACTGTTGGGCTCCTCAGTGAATGTGCTCATTGTAGCTTTGCCAAAAGTGACAAACACCGACTTTCTGCAGTTTCATTGTAAGAAATTGCCGTGCACTAATTGCAAAGTGAACGCATGTATTGTTAGACACACACATAAATACACTTACGTGCACGCTGCGGTTGGTCTTGTTTTCATGCTGCAGGATAAACAGATCCTGTTGTGTCGTGTCAGGACCTATATGTGAATGCTCTGACTGTGGTAGCAGACCCATGCTGTTATGTTACCTGACCCCCACCATGAGGCCGTGCAAAGAGGAAATGGAGAATGAAGTTACTGCACGGCCCAAGAAACAAGCTCTCTCTCACACACACACACACACACACACACACACACACACACACACACAAAACCTGCAAACTGTTTGATGACGTACGTTTCTAACTAGTTTCCAATGATTTAAATTTAACTTCTTTGACTTTTGATATAAAGTTCAGCATATTAAATAGTACCTGACACTTTTCCAAAACATCTCACAGCAGGTGGGCATAATGTGCACAGTATATATATTTATAGGTATGTTATGTTCCACTGTCAGGTAAAGTTTATTTATATTAAAGTAAAACACTTAATGGTTTACACGTTGTGCAATAGTTACCAAACTTGTTAAAGGATGCACCGGGCTTCGAGATCCTTCCAGCCTCTGGAAGATGCAGAGAATAGTTTAGCATTGTCCTTGTTTTTTCCGTTTCTGCTGAATCTCAATTTAACGCACCTTATAGAAAAATGCTACGGCAATTATAATCCGGACTAATGGGGAGTCACGACCCAGGGTAGGTTTGCACTGCCGTTTGAAGCTGCTCCCAGCGGCAAACAAAGATTCTTTTGTGTGAGTCTTTCCAGGGTCTTTAACCTGAAACGCAGACAGTGAGGCAGAGAGATTTCCACAACAGATGTGACCGGCCGTATGTTTTTCATTTCCTCCGCATTTCCTCTACATTATACATGATCATGGCGAGGCACTTACATGGATCAAACATGTGCTATGTCAAGTAATTACTGCAGCATGTCAGTACCTCCAAGAATAGGATAAAGCAAAGTCCAGGGGGAGAATGCCATGCCCGAGTAAGAGGCTTTTTATCAAATGAGACTTTACTGCCGTTCAGTTACTTTAAGTTGACACGGCATGTACACTCTTCCGCTGAACCATGGGAGTTGCATTTTGAATCGGCACACGTGGCGCTCAGTGCATAATCTGTCAGTGTGAGAATATAATCAGCCCCAGGATATTGAAGTAGATGATCAAGGAAGGAAGTTGGATCAGTTTTAATTTCCACAATTGTGTCCAAACCCAAGAGATGTTAGCTTCTGAGGGATCTGTTGGACAAATGCTGTGATCCTCAGACATCTTGAATCGTGCGTGTGTGACAGACATTTGAAGATGTTAGACTGTAACAGAGTCACCTTTTGTGAGTTTTGACTTTTGCATGCGGCGTTTGGATATTTCAACATGGTCGTATCTCTTATTTCATTTCAGAATACACTTATTAACTATTTCCGTGGATCCTCTACAAGCTGTAATGGACGTTTAGATTTAGAATTAACATAGAAAAGCTACTAACATCATTATATGAGATGGATTTAAAAACACAACAGTCTGTATCTACACAGATTGATCAGGTTTCATCTTTTCAAGAGCGATTCAGACATAGCTCTACGTTGTAGTAATTCGTCAAGATTATCGGAAAAGTAGAATTAATCTGACCTCAAATCCCAGTTCATTAAATCGTGTGAAGAAGTCGAGACCTCCTCCCCTCCCCATCGACCCCCTTTGTCCTAATTCCGTGCCTGTCGGTTTTACCAATAACCACAGCTGAACCAGACCATCTCTTTGTCCCACCTCCGGCTCTCTCGAGTTCACCACCGTCGTCTGAGTTGTGTGACATGGGATTAGCGTGTCTGTGTGTTAGCATGCAAGCAGCAAGGTCAGACAAGTTCCTCTGGATCAAAGCTGACAGGCACAGCGCAGGACCCCTGGACACTTAACCCCACTGAGCTGATTTACCCTCTTTGCTGCCCTCTCTTCGGTGGGCGACTCTCTCTCAGATCTGCTTCACTAACTGAGATAAAACATCCCGTATTTAATTTGACATATCCCCAGCTCACTGATACACACACGGCTAAACAGGAACATTGTGATTTTCAGAGTATACCCATGCAACTCCTGGCTCAGGAACATATAATGTCAGTATTTGTTTGAGACTGGAATTCCAGGAAATGTCAGAGTCTGACGGATTCGCAACAAGAGGCACATTCAGGCAAGGTGTCTGGGTAGAACACGCAAGAGGCAGGATTCCATGGAAAGCAGTGTTTTTACAGCAAATCAAGTTGTACCTATTCTCAACTTGAAGTACTGTCTGAACCTTTGTTTGTGAAGTATTAGTATTGCAGATATAAATAATGCATGTGTGTGTGTGTGTGTGTGTCGATCTTTTCTCTGCTACAGTACATCAATGGTGGAAACCTGGAGCAGCTGCTCGACAGCAACACGCACCTGAGTTGGCCCGCCAGGGTGAAGCTTGCCTGTGATATCGCCAGCGGTCTGGCCTACCTGCACTCCAAAGGCATATTCCACCGGGACCTCACCTCCAAGGTTAGCTGCACAGGCTAATTGGTCATTAAGAGGAGAAACCGCAGATAAAAACAAAACCAGAGGTCTGCTTGTGTTTTTGTTTTGGAGACGTGCGGACCTGTGTCTGTTTCGCTCCGTGTTTAATCAAGACACTAAATATATGAAGTATACTGTATTTTCTGACGCTCACGCAAACGTAATCCTTATTTTGATGTAAGTTCCAGAAACGTAGATACGATGTAAAATAAAACAAAAATGTATTTGTCTCTGCTTATTGTTAGTGCAGAAACAATTAGTTATCAGTGTAGTTGAGACTGTTGTGTCTTTATTTTGTTTGTTTAGAGAAGAAGACAATGTATGACTGAAAAAGACATTGTCAGTTCAGATGATTGCTCCATGACACTTCCTTTCGATTCGTACTTTTGAGTTTTCCCTCTTCAGTATAGAGAATTCACAGGATTTTTAAACAGAATATTTTCAGATATTAGTTGGTTTTGAAAACTTGAAGTGCATTTAATATAATTTATTCATAAATGCATTAAGGTCCCAGGATAATGAAGCAACCTCTATTTGTCAGACTTGTATTTTAGATGATATCGTTGGTAATCACCTTTTTTTGTTTGTGTGCTCTTTTGGTCATAGACCTAATAACCTCTCTGTAAAAAACACAGTGTCGCTGTCGCATGTGAGAATCTCTCCTCGGCAGCTTCTAGTTTTCCAACTTGACCCGGAGCCATGTTGGCACAGACGGACAGTGTGCACTCTGCTGTGAACACATATTTATTGCCAGTCTAAGACTGTAGGTACTCATCTTCAGGAAAAAAACAAAAGTGCACAGAACAGTGTAAGTGACATCGAACCAGAATCTTTCACTGGAAAGATATTGTTAATGCAGCTGGGTGGATGATGTCATATGTCTTTGCTAGATCATAGTTCCTCAAATGAATGCAAAGTGTAATGACTCATACTTCTGTCCTGGAGGTTGTTGAGCAGAGACTTATTCGTTAATATTTCATGTTCATTTGATGCTATTTACTCGTTGCAAACACCTTCCTACTGTAACTTGACCCTATGTTTTAGAGATTATAATGTATTCTATTTTATACACTCTCCCATTATAAAGTAGTTCTAAGAAATCTATTCAGAAAGTACAGTAACACCTCAGCATTGCTTGTATAATGTCTATAATCACTGCAACAAGTGGAAGCAGAAGATAAACAAATGGTTCCTTTCAGAAGAAAGAGGAAGAGTCTAAACTTTGTAGAGATGCATATCGACAGGTTCGGCTGGTTTGTTGGTGCACAATGAACAAACAGTAATGTTGAAGGTTTAGGTTCATGTTCATAGAGGAAGTGGATGTTTGACTGATATTGTTAAGACAGAAAATGTTATGAATCCCTCTTTGTTGTAACTTCCTCAACTAAATGTGTTGATAATGTTTTTTTTTTCTGTCTTCACAGAACTGCCTGATCAAATGTGATGACAACAGCTACACAGCAGTGGTTGGAGACTTTGGCCTGGCGGAAAAGATCCCCACTACTCTGTAAGGAGTCGTCCACGGATCACACCTACCTACTTACTTTCCTACATAATTACTGGATCAATTCTCAGTATTTGATATTAACACCATGTAAAGGAAAGGAGGTGACTCCACTGTGTTGAAACTGTGTGGGGGATTATCACTCCTCTCCAGCTTGATGCAGCTCCACGGCCTCTTTTGGCTCCCAAGATTCGTATTTGTGGTTACGTCACAGCTGTTCTTGTCAATCGCAGGCGGCCATTTCCAAATCTGGCATCTCGTGCTGTGTAAACTGTGTAAACACAGCACGAGAGGGTAATTTTGTGTTGACAAAAAAAAAAAAAAAAAAAAAAAGGCCTTGGGGGAGTCAGCTTAGTTTTTAAATATTTGCATGTTTGCCCTGGTTTCGTTTATCTGTCATGTTGTTCATATTAACATTACAAAGGCAGCCTGGAGTAATAAGTTCACTCAAACCGAACCTTTTTTTATTAAGTGCTAACACCTCGACACAGATGTAAAAGCAGGCAGGTAATTGAACGTTTTTTTTTCCTTCTGCTGCTCCACATCTTTCATTTACACACAACACGGACAGGGCGAGGTCAGGGTTCTCTTCCTGCTGGTGCACTCGGTCAGAGGAGGATTATTTCAAACCGACGTGTCGCCAGCTCCACATATTTACACACAAATTGATGCTGAATGTGCTTCAGCTTTTCTTCACGCTAGAGACACTGTGTGCACTTTGGTTTTATTTTTATTATTCAACCAGGAACACAGAGTCCTGTTGCATGTAATCTGACATCCTGTGTTATGTGTGCTGGGTTCAGTGCTGAAGGAGAGAAGCTCTCTGTTGTCGGCTCCCCTTTCTGGATGGCTCCAGAGGTGTTGAGAGATGAACCCTACAATGAGAAGGTAAAGTCACCCACTCTGAGCTTTGCCTTTAGTTAATACCAAGGAGTGGTACCAGAGCCGATGGTGTCGAAAATACACTCAAATAAGATTACGATAGAGTTTTATTTCATTTAAAGAAACCTTGAGGGAAATTGGGTCCCAGAAATCATCATTTGCTTTGTTTTAAAAAAAGATTTAAGTGAATTTAGAGAATTGTACAACAGGCAAGGAAGGAAAGAAATATTTGTAAGAATTAAAGAATTATTCTTGTTACTTTTTCATGTTTGCATTTATCTGTGTGTCTATGCTCATTTCTGTGTCTCTCTCTATTCAGGCTGATGTTTTCTCCTATGGAATCGTCCTGTGTGAGATCATTGCAAGGATCCAGGCCGACCCTGACTTCCTGCCCCGCACAGAGGTGGCTGCTCCTTTCCCCTCAGTGTCACCCTGTGACCTTCTTATAACACGTCTGTGTCCATGTTTGCTTTGTAAACAGGTTGATCTGTCTCTGTGTCTCATAATTCTGTCCCTGTTTGCAAACGTTCACATGACGAACAGATGAGGAGCGTTTGTTCACTGTACCTCATCCTAACGTTGATCTCAGTGTGATGCAGAGATTTATCTTTTCATATGGGAAATAATACCTCACAAGTGTATATATTTTAATTAACTAAATATAGACTTTTCTTTAGAAGCTAAAAAATGCTGCTGAGATCTGCTTTTCCTTCATACACAGATTTGTGTGCGAGATAATACATTGTCTAATTTGGGATCCCCTGCCTGCCACGTAGAACTCAGTGTGAATTTGAAAAGAATAAAAACTGTTAAATAGGATCATCCCCTGCGTAGCCATGAGGATTGTGAATTTAACCGGGCTTATGGGCGACTCCAAGCTCGGAAATGAGTCTTTGGTTATTAGTCCTTGATAGTCCACTTGGCAGTCAGCGGGATCATGTCAGAGGGATTAGTCTGATATGAAGCTGGCTTTGGCACGAGAGCAGCACTGTGTCAAACTTCTGATGAAGCTCCGTCTCTTTTATCCTTTTTGTCAGAGGGGGAGATATGAATTTCCTGTTGTAACTTTAATACTGTATTTGTCGCTGCCTCCCAACCAGAACTTTGGCCTGGACTACCACACGTTCCAGCACATGGTTGGAGACTGTCCGTCTGATTTCCTCCAGCTGGCATTCAACTGCTGCAATGTGAGTCTAACACACTCTCGAGTCTGTCGATCCAGAAACGAAGCCAAAATATCCTGGATACGAACTCAAACATAATCTTGTGCTGATGACGTCAGCCGGAGTCGGTGTCAGCTGTCAATCATCACGACTCACCCTGTTCCCAACATCAAATATCTATTTAAATCCAAACTTAACCAGAATAAAAAGCTCAGGAACAAACATCAGTTCTGTAGGAAATGTCTAAAATCACACAAACCATATTTGAGAAAATGTACTGAACATTTATTTTGACTTTTTAGTTTGGTCCATGTCCAATACACTAACATGGAGGAGGCACATGTGTTGACGACTGTTTCTTGGATTTTCTTTTTCTTAATTTCTTAAGTAACTTTTTATTCAGTCATTCAGGAATAGAGGGCCAATCTGATTATGTGAATAATCTGATTTAGCTCGCTATCCAGGGGGTCGGCCTCTATTCTCTAAAAGCTGGATCAGAAACTTGGCCGACTCGTCTTTTCACAACATTCATACGTTAATTAGTTGTGAAATTGATTAGCTAATGAAACGGGGGAGTAACATTAAGTCAAACCGTATCAAATATGTGTTTCACGCTCACGTCATTTTATAATCCTTGGACTTAATATAATTACAACCCACCGTGATGAGAGTATTAAAGTTCTGTGAGCAGGCTGTACTGGCTCCGACCATCTCTTCTCATCCTTGTCTGCTCTGTTGCTATTGTTATTCTTGTCTCTCTTGTCTTCCATCCAGGTCTTTTGAATTTAAATTAATTTAATTCTCTATCAGTTTTACATTTTCTTTCTAGGATCTTATTCCAATCCCTTCTCACTTTCTTATTAGCTGTGTGTCCTCATCTGTTAGCCACTCTTTTCCATTCGCCTCTCCGCAGCTTGTCTCCATAAATATTATTGCTCAAGACAGGTCTGAAAATGAAACTCACATCATTAGTAGCCTCAATTGTTTTTGATTATTACGTCGAAGCCCATATTTACCTGATGACTCTTTATTCAAACTTCATTCTTTCATTCATCCTCACCATACTCAAGTATAAGCAACTTGGAAAACTAGCTTGTAAAATCCAGTGTAAAGGAGGAGTCAGCTATATAAATGATATATGTAAATTATAATGTTAGATATTCATTGTGTCTGTTTTACTTAGGAACTACACCTACTGGTGTAATCTTTACTTCCCTGAGTGAAATATGTCACCATGTATGAACCACTTACTCTTTTTCCCTTGTGCAGATGGACCCTAAACTCCGTCCGTCCTTCCCGGACAACGTCAGGCACCTGGAGGAGATTCTTGCTCGCCTCAAAGTGGAAGAGATGGAGCACGAGTGCGTCTCGCTCAGTGGAGACAACGACAAGAAGACGATACCTAAAGGTATCAGCCCTGCAGTGCTGTCCAAACCACACAGTACGTTTACAGCTTTACAGTCAGGGAACAGAAACCTCCACCTCTCATGGGTTCCCTACCCTTTCATCCTCTTTACCGCTACGTACAGGCTCAGCTTGCACTCTAATGTAAACTGTCTGCCAGTGAGCGAGTCAATATATTATTTGTTATCAGTGAGTGGTGGGACTGACAGAAACCTTTCCTCTCCAGTTCCTCTTGTGAAGCACAGTGTTGATTCTACGTTCGTACACCGTGATCCCTCTCTCTAAAGAATGTGAGCGCAGGTCCAGGTTCCCTGTTTCCTGATAATATAAACCTCATCTTTCCTTTAAGAGGAAAAACTAGACTGAGATCAACGTTCTCATTCGGAGATACTCGATCCGCACAGGTCCAGGTTTCACTTCTAATTTGGTCCAGTTCTGACGCCTGCGTGTCTGACCATCATGGAGCCAGGAGTCAGTCATGTTTTTGTTTGGAAGAGCTCCGTGTCCCCAGGACAACACAGGATGCAGGAGTGATTTATACTGGTGACAAATGTGTTGTTTCTTTCACCAGGTGTTGTGTTGTAGATCATGATGAAGTTAACACAACACAAAACAACACAACACACAGTCTGAGTCTGTTGACATAAGAACGCTCTCTTATGAAGCTGTTATTATGTGGAAAACACAGATTGAGTCTGACTCCTCGTCTGCTGTCGGTTGTTATGTCATGAACTCCTTCTGACCCCCCCCCCCCCGCTCCAGGTATTTATGTGCTTATATGAACAAACTCTGTTTCTAAACATTTGTTAACAATCGCTGGAGCATTTAAGACTCCAGTCCTCCACTCGAGATTATTATCATTATGAGCATTGTTATTATTATCACATACATTTTATGAAGTTTGAATCCTACAAAGCTAAAAGTAAAATTCAATGTTATAATAATCTCTTTCAGTGTCACAGAAAATAAAAAGGGATTTGTAGTCAGCCTGCAATGACACCTAGTGGTGACATCATATCATCAGTCAAGAGTCTGAGCTACACTTGTAAACTTTCCTTAAGGACACGACTCTCTGTCTTTTTGTTCAAGGCGACAAAATCCAGGGCTTCAAGCGACTGAACCCTCTCGGTTTCCAGGACGACAAAATCCCACAGAAGTCGCCCCGTCCTCGGCGAAACATCTGGCTCAGCCGCAGCCAATCGGACATCTTCTCCTGCAAAGCAGTGAGAAAGGTCAACGTGCAGGACCCTTACTACCACCCCCCCATTACGCAGCGAGCCTCCAAAGCCCGCAAGATCAACCCGTTCACCGCCCGAGAGGACCTGTGTGGGGGCAACATCAAGTTTTACGACGTGCCCAGCAAGTCGGTGTTCTCGCTGGTGTTTGACCTCCACTCACCTCCAGGGAGCGTGTTCGGTAACCCGTCAGCTACCCATGGACCCGCGGGGCCGCAGCAGGAGGGGTCTTACTACTGGCAACAGCTGCCAGGGAGACAGTGCCACTCCTTACCGGTGTCGCCCCAGCTGCCCCGCTCCGAGGTCTTCCACCTCGCTGCGGCTGTTGGCTCCAATAACAACGGTTCTCTCACCTGTAACTCCAGTCAGATGTCCACAACGCTGCCAGGTGAGTAGTTTGATGTGGACGTCATTTCAGCATTTAACAAGTGAACACTTTCAAAGAGTTTGAAACTTATTCCAGAACAATATGATGTTTGAAAATATTATGATCAATGATCCAAACATAAGGTTTTTAATGAGGTTATTAATTAATCTGGTAATTTTGTTTATCTGGTAGAACAGAAAAAAACACAGATAAGTTACGTTGAGTAAAAAGTTAATTACAATTAAACCCCCTCTTTACTCAGGTGAAGTTGTTCTACTTTCCTTTTTTCATTAAATTAATTTTCTTTTTCTCTTTTCCTGTTTTTTATTCCCACAGCGACTAACTCCAGGTCTGACGCGGGCCTGACTGGAAACGACGTCCGGCAGAAAGCGTTGGTGTCGGGCTGGTCAAAGAAATACGTGGTGGTTGAGATCCCGCCTTACTGTGGGCAGAGAGGAGGGGAGGAAGAGGAGGAGGAGGAGGAGGACGGAGAGGTAGAGGTAGAGGTAGAGGGAAGGACGGAGGGAAACAAGGAGGACATGTCTGGGGAGAGTTGGTCTCCCATGGTCCCCAGCAGTGAGAGAGACGGCGGGGAGGCGATGGACTGCTCGTGCAGCCTGGAGGACGAGGATGAACGAGGAAAAGGGACAGACGCCGGCTCAATGTAACAAACTTAACACACTCACATGGACGAACATGGCGGGGAGGACGCGGTAGTTTTGGACGAGAGCTCGGGGACTGTGACTTGTGACTGTGAGGAAGTGGACGAGCATTGAGACGGACAGACTGGACTCAAGTTAATGGAAAGATACGGCGCCGAAAAAGAAAAGAAAAGCAAAAGCGCTTGATGTTCTCAAGTGAATTTATCCGAGCACATCTTTTCAAGCTGTTATCACACACGGACAGAACAATGTGTGACGGCCTCTAGTGAGCACAAAAAAAGCTTTTATCAAAACCGTGGACACTCGGAATAGAGATTATTTTTTCTAAAGGTTGTTTATATTTACTATTGTGAGACGATGTCGATTTCTTTTCTCCTTAAAAGTTCCGTATATTTTGGCGTCTTGTCTATGACGAGGGAACCTGATCCCTTGTGTACGTGTGAGTGTTTAAAAAAAATCAGAAGTGTGTTTTGAAACCTTCCCCGTGTTCTTTCATTCAAAACATTCAGTCAAATGATTTGTGAATAATTGGCCCATAAACACAAACTTTGTCTTCATCAGCTGTTAAAGGACCCGACCAGTGGTTTTAACGTCTTTCAGGAGACGTGTTTTCTAGAAACGATATCCAGAAAAAAAGAGCATCACATTTAAAGTTGCAATCTGATGTCTGAGTTTACTTGAATGCACCACGAGTTTTAAAACAGTTCCCTCTCGTCACTCTGTTGTAATTGCTAATATTTTACTCTGGGTTTTATGAATTATCACTCCGACACAACTTCAGTCTTTCACAAACGTGTCACAGACTCTACTGGTCTCACTCGTTCAATAGTTTTAATTCCCACAAAAAATATTCAAGCATTTATTTTATTGATCTTTGGAGTAAATCACTCACGAGTTTCCCTTTGAGCTGATTCTGATTCTGGGAAAAACTGCTGCTAATATTCGGTTGAGTTTGTCTCATTAAATTACTGGTCTCGTTTCCAAATACATGAAAAAAAGCTTGTTTGTTTTGAGGTCATCTTCCTGTTTGAGGCTTCAAACATTACTGAACTTTAACAAATATATTTAAAATCACATCGGGAAGGTTCGTTTAACACGGAAACAGTTGATCTGAATGTTTTCTAAATGTGTTTGACTTGATAAACATGCTGACCGTTGATCCGCTCCAGTCAGTGATGCTCTCGTTACATTCTGATCTCACTCCAACAGGAACTAAAATGCACTTGTATCGTGATGATCTCCACTTAATGACTTTTTCACTACTTTTCTATGCAACAGATCATTTATCTCATTGTTTCACAGGATTTAAAAAAGATCTAATCTGATATTTATAAGAAAAAAACCCTTTTTAAATGTCTTACCTTTGTATTTTTGTGTAAAACGTTTGTGTCACCTGCCTCGACAAATACAGATCCAGATGTTTTTTTTGCTGATCGAGTAACAAAGCTTCCCTGAGTCTTACTTGCATTTGTCTCTTGATTCTTTTCTTCAGGATGACTTGATGAAAACTCAGAGACTTTCAAATTACATGTGAAACTTTTGCTTTCAGATTTTAAGTTCTGAAATTGAAGTCTTCTCGTGGAACGATTGGTGTCAGAGGATCTAGATTTTTCATCCTGAAGTTTAAAGGTCGTTTCTACAGGTGAGTCCCACTCTTCTGTCCGTTAAATAATAATAATAATAATAAAAAACACCTTGAGACTAGTTATTATTATTAATCGGATGCTGCAATTATCTTTAATGAGGTGGGGTGTTTAATAGTAATTTATATTTATAATTTCTAATAGTCTTCATACTGTGATAAATATGGAAGATTAAACTAGATGGGAAACTTTGAATGTGAATTAAACTAAGTTTTTTATTTATCATTAATAATCTCTCAGTGCTCCCACATGAGCGTGAGCAGCGGTCGGCAAGTTTTCTTTAGGCCAACCGTCAAAAACGTGGTTTTCCAGCTTCTCGTATATGAGAAGTTGATGCTTTTCTTTTTCACGAATGACGACAAAGTGAATCTCTTTGAATCTGTGAGAAATATGAAATGAGGCTGATTTCATTAACTGGAAAATCTAAATAATCAATATTGAAAATCATTGTTTGCCTTCAACTAAATAACGGAACAACGGGTCTGTTTTGATAATATCAACATTTATCACATGTTATAATATTAAACAAACAACAACAACAACAAAAATGAAACAGTTAAACCAGCTTCATCACTGTGTTCTGAGCTACTCAAAAAATAAAAACATGGAACCTTCCTTGAAGCCACGTCAAACTCAGTGAGCTGTTTTCTGGTGGGACTTGAGGCTGGAGCGCTGGGTGAAGCACTTCCCACACAGCGAGCACTCGTACGGCTTCTCGCCGCTGTGCACCACCGCGTGTCGTATGAGGTTGCACTGCTTGGTGAAGCTGCGGCCGCACTGCGCGCAGCTGAACGGCTTCTCCCCCGTGTGACTCCTCAGGTGCTCCTTGAGCTGACTGAACCTCATGAAGCTCTTGTCGCAGTACGTGCAGCTGAACCTCTTCTCGCCGACGCCGGACCTCCAGGGCGTCCTCATCCTCCTCGCCAGGCCGAAGCTGCCGCGGCCGCTCTGCACGCAGAGGGAGGAGGCGGCCGGGTTTGGGTTCGGATCCTCGTCTCGGCTCCTCAGCGAGGGAGGAGCGAGGTCTCTGCGCTGATGCTGCGACAGTTGAGGGACGGAGCTCTGATCCGTGGAGTTCGTCTGAGCGTTGAGTCCGTCTTCTGCTTGTGGTCGTCGACTTCCAAATGTTCTGGCTCGTCTTTTCCCTCGGACCAGGACGGAGTGAGCTTTCCCCGCTGAGTGAGTCCTGGGTACCACCTCCTCTGATGGAGTGAACACAGCGGGGATCTGCTTTACCTGCTGCCCCTCGTAGGAGAAGCTGGGATCGGCTGCGTCCCTGCACAGACCGGACAACCACAGCTGATCGTGACCGTCCACCGTCACAGACGCGAGGCCCGACTCGAGCTGCGGCGCGTCGTCTGGTTCCTCCTCCCTCTCGTGTTTCACCACGAGCTCCGAGCCGCTCCGGTTTGTGACGATCGGCTGCTGCCCTAGTGGCAAAGAGTCGTGTCCGGCCGTCGGGGACACAAGAGGTTCTGGTTCTGCCGGGTCCTCGGCCGAGTGGTAACGAGCCACGAAGCCGTCGGTCTGCTGAGGCGGCGAGGATTTGAAACACGGGGATGGTTCTGCTGCGGATACTGAAAAGGAAGCACACGTGAGATCAGATACGAGAGCACATCAATCACAAAGCCTTTATTGGTCCTCACAGGGAAATGAGTCCGTTGGGAAAGAGGAAGTAGATGACGGGTCAACGTCCGCTGATTGAAAACCTGGGAACCTTCATACGTGACAGTGGTTTGTGTTCTCGCTCACTCAGTTTGTCGTCTGTGTCGTTCTTCCACTCGTCCTCCTCCGCACACTCCTCTTTTATCTGCACGTGTTCGGCTTCATCAGAAACCTCCAGGTCTGCACACTGCAACACAAGCAGCAACACTGACTGAGGAGGAGCACACGTCAGACAGAGACGCTTTGATCCATCAGTCTATCTATCTATCTATCAATCAGTCTATCTATCAGTCTATCTATCTATCTATCTATCAGTCTATCTATCTATCTATCTATCTATCTATC